GGACCCTTCCCCTAGCTTACCTTCCCAGGTCCCAAGAAGCTGATGCTTAGAGACCTCCAAAGACAAAGGTATCCTCCAATCCAATGTGCTAAATAGCCACTCATGGACAAAGAACTAGCCTTGTAATTTTTTTAATCCTTCACACATTTAGCCTCTCCAATATCCCGTAACAATAAATTCTGAAGAAGAATTATACGTGGCATAAAAACTATGACCTTTGCCGGATAATCGCATTCGGTGCTTCCTACTTCTTCTTTTGTGAGAGACAATCAACAGCCACTTCTCTGTTTCACCTTTTCCATTCGACTCCTCACTTCACAGACTTCTAGCATATCCTCCAGAGCTGCTGCTTCTCCATACCAAATAGTCATGTGGAAAACAGTCAATACTGCTGATCATCCTGGCTGCCATTCTCTCTATCTATTTTAGCATATTATGCTGTTCTTGTGAAAGGATCACCAGAACTGTGATGAAGGAGCATCACAAAGCTAACTGGTTTTCCTTAGTTCCTCTAGTAGCACTTCTGATGATCTCTTCATCTTCTTCCTGAGCGGTAAGAGCTAATTTATAGCTTATTGTTCTACACATTATGAGAAAATAACTTCTGACTTTAGGATTGCTCACCATCACTCAACAACAGTAAAAGTTTCTTTACAAAGAAAATAATGAAATGGATTTTGCAACTCCTACCTAGACTTTCAACATATGAAAGTGCTAGGACATTGGCTGTTCTGTTAAAGCTCCCTGGACTTATTTGAATTCACAAATTTAAATTAATGACTAGACTTCCTACAGGACACTTGGCTGGTGAACTTAAAATGGACAGCCTGCAGAGGCAAGTCCAGCAAAGGCAAGAATAGCAGGCTACATGAGTACCAAGACCCCACAGACGGATAATGCTGCTCCCACTCCAATCATTGCTTCAACCAATTTTGACACTTGAATTCAAGCTTCAGATTTTCTGGTGTCTTTTCAAAAAAGCAATCATGGAAAATGAAAACAGTGCAAGGAATCAAAAACAAGTACCAACATAGCAGATCTACAAGAAGAGCTGCAAACACCCCAAACTGCCTCTCTAAGAAGCTGACTTAATCCTAGTTACTGCATAAAAAGCAACCCTTGCACAAAATGAGGCATTCACACCAGAGAAGCAGACGCTTGCTGATACAAGCTTCAAAGCAGCAGCTTGCTGGGTAACAGGCACTGTAGTATGCTGCCTCTGTTCCTCTGCCAGAACTATTTATTTATATTCCTGTTCTGAAGCAGACTGGTGCTGTCCATTTCACATCTGGCTCTCACAGACACTGTTTATTCCTGTTGCTACAGCCTCAGTGATGGTGTCCGATTTCTTAACCTTCATCGGTTTTCACTGACCCCCCTCATGACATGAACCTTTTCTCATGTGAAATGTTTTTAACAGTTCATCATAGCCACCCGTTACAACCCTGCCATATCAGCTCATGTTCCTCCTATCGTTTTCCCTTCCCAGCAGCCCTTCTTTCCACAGCCTGCACACAGCTAAATATACATAACACTGCACTTGAAGGAGCCATGTGTCACTCGGTGGAGCACAGCTCCACCTGTTTGCCAGGCCAGCATACTGGATTTTAAAGAGGGACCGTAAGTCCCCAAGCAAATGGTCAGAAAGGGCCTATAGGCCTTGTGAGCAGTAATTGCACATGATGAGGAGTTACTCAGCTGGGATACCATTCTTTGTAAATTAAGAATGACTAGCCTGAGATTACCTTTCTACTGAGAGGGCCTCTCCAATCTGACACCTTCATAATGGCAAAAAAGTTTTGCTTAGTTGTTGCCCTCAAAATCCCTGGCCATAGGCCTGTAACAAACATGGCCACCCCGCTTCCCTTTCCAGTCATGTCTTTCTACCTCACTTTATTTGTCTTGGTCTCTCTCTCTTACAACTCCGCTTCTCCTGGAGAAAAGCTTAATCCTCTTTCCATCCCCCAACACAGCGTAATTCCTTCAGTAGTCAAACTAAATCCTTTGTTAACCTTGGGGTTATGTGAGGTAAACGAGAAGGCACCTTCAAATCTGAAGCAGCCATCTTTTTTGTAGAGGCAATCCTCATGGGATTTCCCAGGGTCTTTCCTGATCCCTGCTGAGAAATAACTACAGCAATACCCTGGCTACCAGTGGCCCTGGGCCAGCAGGGACACGGAGCCCCAGGCAGCCTCGGCGGCGGGGTGACGGCCGGGCTCTGCCGGCGCAGGCCACGCAGCAGCAGGTGGCAGGTCGCGGGCGGCTAACATAAAGTGAGGGTGAAACGCACCCCACCACTCCAGCTTTCCTCCTGAAGGGATCCCAGCCCGGGGCACCCTGTGCCGTGGGAAGCTCTCCCCAGCATCTTCGCCAGTTGCTTTTTATTACTACTACTTCTTCTAAAAGAGCAGGTCTGATTCTTGGTAACAGTACTGCCCACAACCCCCAAGGCTGAAGGTGAAGATGCCTGCCGGCCCGCACCCCCAGCTTTTGGCGGCCCAAGCTGTAGGGCGCGCAACCCGAAA